TACCTTGCAACCAGTAACGTTTTGCTGTTACTTTAAATTCTCTGGGTCTCCGTTTATTACAAAGAAACTCTTGTGCCTCAGTGTTGGGTTGGAAGTGATTTGTGTGTATCCCTAATTATTTCTCGGCTGTTGACCAGGGCTGCGTGTCTGTCTGCTCCAGCCGCACCTAACTGGAAAACCCAGGCAGAAAGCAAGGCGGGCTGACAAGATCCACGTGCCTCAACAGGCAGTGAGTGGGTGAGTGAGTGACCATAAGCTGAACCTGGGAGCAGCGTGTGTAACACATCCCTCTCCATGGAGCTGGTATTTTCCCACCCACCTCCATTGGTTTTCGCTTGGATGGGACAGCAGGATAGTGTCAGCCCTGCGAGGTAGACCAGACCAGGAAATCAACTCCACAGGACTACTTAAATTGAGACTGGCTCTTATAACAGACTAAACACGTTTCACCCCTTGTCATCCAGATAACAGATCTTGCATATCTCCATGGAGATCACCTTCCTTACTCTCTACAGATCCTGATATTGGGGATTATCTGAACCATTTGCCCACATAAATCTGCTCCCTATTAGCACGAGATCCTACAGGAGAGACAAAGGAAAACAGGGGAGGCACTTCAGAGAAACCCCAGATCGTGTCAGCAAGCCCCCCCGACCTCCTCCTTCCCCGTCCACCTTGATGACCTTTTGGAACCAGTGCAAAAGGTCTCCGATGTGGGGCCTGTTAGCAGAGGCCACAGATGGGGTCATCCTGGCCCTTTTCAGGGTCTTTGCCTGTAAATCAATCAATAGCAGCAATCTGGTCTTGGCAAGGCAGCCGTTCTTCTGAACGGTCGCCCAGCCCTGTTCTCTCTCAAGTGTCCTGGTTGGTACAAAGAGGGCAGGTGCCCCCGAACGGAGCTGCAGTTTCAGGAGAGTAAGGGACCTCCTCAGCTCCTCGGACGAAAGACCTCTCAGGTTTCTTACCATCTCCAAACTGTCCCAGGAACTGCAACGTCTGAAAAAACGGGCTGGGGAATGAGGAGACCCTAACCCTGAGTTGCAAAGAATTCTTCAAGTCACTGCAGGAGAAGACCCCAGGTCAGGTCTCCCTTCTGGAATGCAGGGAGGAAAAGAGAGTCCGCCTGGTGCAGGGGGGAAGGTGCTGGGCTAAAAACCGGCAGACGGTGAGTTCCAGTCCCCCCTTAGGCATGGAAGTTGGCTGGGTGGCTTTGGGACGGTCCCTCTCACTCAGTCCACCCTACCACACAGGGTTTTTGTTATGGGAAAAATAGAAGCAGGAGCATCACAGAATAAATGAAATAAATTAAATTAAAATAAAATAAATAAAATAAATAAGTAAAATAAAATAAAATAAAATAAGGAAATAAAATAAAATAAAATAAGGAAATAAAAT